TGACGACTTTAAACGAGACAGCTGAAATTCTTGTTTTATCAATTTGTTTGTTCAAGGATGGGAAATTCTGAACACTGAATTTATTGCATAGTAACCACGGTTCTCATCTGACCAGTTTTCATAATTTTCCTTTCAGTATGTATAATTGCCATAATTATAAAACATAAATCTTTCTCCGATAGATTGTAGTAGGTGAAAAGGAAGATAACAAACAGGAATGAATCTCAAGAAGTTATAATTCTATTTAAAAATATCATAATTATCTGTTGCTTATTTCTAGTATTCTGGTGTACTTTTTGAAGTGGCAGTAAAGACTGCATAGAAAATTAGAATCCCGAGCTGCCCTGAATTTAAGAATGGATTTAGCAAGTCATTGTTAAGCTAGGATATTGATTTTCCGGACAACTTTTCCTGAATTCTACGAATCCTACCCATGGGGTATTATTTCATCAAGATTTTACCTTGTTAAAACAACACAAAAGTAATCCTTCTCCCAACAAGTCAATATGCAACTTAGTATGGTTTCCACAGGACGTAGGGAGATGAATAGAATTCAACATTTTGAGTAGGTAGAACGAAAAATGACATATAGAATGTGAATGAGACATAACGCGCTTACTATATGGACTATAAACCGAGATTTGAATGTTAATCGTGTCATCATTTAAAGTAAACGTAAGTTTCATAATAAGTGTTATTCGGTTTGTATTCATACCTCGTGATTTTGAGTTTCAATAAAAGAGCAATGCGAGACCGATAAACAATAACACTCTTAAACTAGGAAGTCACCATTACAAAATCAAGAAACAGCGCAAAATGATCATGAGATGTAACAAAAACTTTTAAACAATTTGATGTTAAAAGGAAGAACTTTGTGCTGCAGAGTGCAAACATACATCACTTCATGGCAACATCTTGTTTAAACAAAAACACTTCTAAGGCAATCTTAAAATTGCATAATCTTGAAAAATTACCTTTCACAAACCTTCCAAACCTCTGTCAACAAAATGGAAGCGTTTTTCATTTTAAAACACTTTATAATCGGGTTACGATGAAAGCTAGTTTTTGGCTGTTATTGCAGCTTAAATGATGAGATTTTTTTCTGTCGTGTTCTCATCCTTGTGAATTGTCGACTTACAAACTTAAGATAATATTCCCCATAATTATCACCTGCAAGATTTCACTGAATTTTATTTTTGGTTGAAAATTTCTCCTTTTTTCTATTTAACTATGCATGCTTTCTTGGAAATTTGTCGACAGAACTGATACTAGTAGTTCTAAATAATTTTGAATTCGTTGGAGTAATTTAACTGTTTCTCAGAGAGAAATCTTATTCTAAAATATATTGAGAACACTATTTTTAATTAAATCAAAACCAAACAGGTACTAATTGCAAACAGAAAATCCTACTCCTTGTGTTCAGCATGTTCACGATTAGATTTTTTACATGATATGTGAGCTTTTTACTGTTTATTAATGTCACATTTTCCATCAAGAGTACCAATCATTGCTGTTCCTGAGAATGATGAACATTTTCTATAACGAGGTATATTATTGACAAACAAGTTGAGGAAACAAGATTATCATCAGTCTCGTTAAAAGACATTTTTTCGAAAGTTCTATGGTCGATACAATAACCTTGTCAGCAAATACAATTAATCATTGAGTCAAATGCTGACTGACGTTTTTGATACTAATTGTTAGTCCATTATTTACACACTAAATTGACGATGGATTTTTCCGTTATTTCCCGAACATGTCAAGGAGCACACGGTGGGTGCGACCGGTCGGCAGGGGAAGCTCACTCCTCCATGGCACCTGATCCTACTTCTGATGTATTTTTTGTTCGTGTTTGCTCTGCTCCTATTTTGTTATGTTTTATGAAGTTTTGAACTTGAATATTGTTCGCTATCTCGATATGTTTCACTCAATAAATTTCATTCAATATATAAGTTACAGTATTCAACTGCTGAAAAAGTTACAGACTCTGTTATTGCACTTTTAAGAAAAAAAATAAAATCCTTTGGGATTTATTTTTAACTTGTACATAATATTTTTTTTCTTTTTTTTATAAATTTTTTTTGAAGATTTTTATACCAGTACTAATTTAAAATCATTTTAATGCTGTTATCTATGCAGCTACGTTCAGTTTATGAATATTTAAAAACATTGCATGTATGCTGAAAAAACATTTATTGAATATTTTGTACTTTGTTTCATGATACCAAAGTCATTTTTTTTTTTTTTTTTTTTTTGCCTTTTATCTAAAAGGAACATATATACTTCACCATTTAAAATGTCCGATCAACAGAAACTCCCCAAATTTTTGGGTTTTTCTTTACCAGTAAATAAGATACAAACTTTGCTGGAGATTGAAATTCTTCGTGAATGTAAATTATAATAATGGCCTATACTTTGGAAATGAATTTAATTATTTGTGATTTTCTTGCGGTTGCTTTCGATAACGTAATGACGTATCACATGTAAATTTATGTCGCACACTGGAATATATCTTTGAAATAAGCAGCTTTTCCCTTCATTGCCAAAAAATTACTTTGTTAATTTCCAAATCTCACTGTTTTGTTAGAAAATATATTTATCAAATAAAATAAAATTTTGGAAATCTGGAACTTTCATTAGTTTTTTTTTTCAGGGCAAGAAAATTCTCAGTACAAACATAAAAAAATGCAATGGAAGAGCTCGTTTGGTAAAATACACCTAGACGTATTCGAATTCGCTTCGTTTCCAATATACAATTGCGGTGAACATAAAAACTTACTTATCTAATTAGTAGATAATGAGGAAGGATGTAAATTTCCCCATTAATCTCCTGTGAATGTGAGTTGTGATGCAATTTCTTACTCGACAGGATGCAAATGTATCTGAACATAATATTTCACTTTTATTACGTAAGACGACAGCTTCATACCGCTGTTCTAAACAAAACAAAGGAGTGATATACATAACAATACAAAAACTGTAGCAATTTTATCTCTGTAGTAAAAATCAATTAAAAATATTTGCATCTGTATAATCTCAAGGAGAATAATACGCAGCGGCTGTGTCCTTGTGTAATAACACTTTCGAAGGACACTGTTTTTTTCTTTTTTTTAAAGACGTTTGAAAATATATATTCTCCTTAAAACTATGAAATTGTCATTGAAGAAATGAAATGTGAAGTAAGGAAATGGATCATTTATTAATGTCCATTTTAATCCATACAAATCATGGGCGGAACCAACGGGTCCTCTGAAAACAGAGTTGGGATAAGGTGCCTTGGAGGAGTAAGCATTCTCTTCCAGCCAATCACTCCCACCGTGTGCTTTTTGTCATTATCGGGAAAAAACCGCGGAAAATGCGTCGACAATTCAGTGAACGAACGGAACCTTCATAGGAAAATTCAATGTGAAACTAAAAGCTGATCAATTTACATTAAATATATCAATTAAAACGACAGATGGTAAAGGTAAATAAAATATATCGTTGTTTGTTGGTATTTTTTTGTGAATGATGTAGCAATTCTTCAGCATATTTATTTACTGTGAAATCATTATTGTTCGTGGGGGACCAATGTTCGTGGCTTTCGTGGGTAACCCTGGTCCACGAAACAAAACGAAAATTAAAAGTTAAATTGAAATACAACTTGTTATTTAATACACGAACATTGACCCCCAAATAAAAATGATTAAAAATGAAAAAGAAAATGTGCGTTATTTAATACATGAATAAATAATAAAAATAACAATGAACACATTTTATTTTTGTATTACTGTTAACAAATGTGTTCGTTACAGCATTTGATAATCCATTAACGTTCACGTCAAATAACGTAAATTTTTACAAAATCTAAATCAGCAAACGTCACTGGTTTATTCGGTAAACAACGTAGACGTCATTCCATTTCATCCTGAACGTGCTCGATCGGCGAGAAATCGGGGGAAACAACTGGACAAGGCAAAACATCGATATTCTGTTGAACAAAAACGTCCCTGACTAGGCGTGCAACATGTTGCCTTGCGTTGTCTTGCTTTGAATTTATTATTAACTTTGAATTTCCAATCGTCAACTTTCCTTACTTAAGCAGCAATATACCTTCATCACCTGCATACTGGGTATAAAATCTCTCAGTTTCTTCGATATGTAAGAGCATTGTCTACGTATGAACAATTTCTAAAACGAGATAAATAACTGAAAGACAAGTTGATGAAACAAGGCTATCAGCAGTCTCGTTTAAAGTCATCATTTCGTAAGTTCTATAGTCGATACAATGACCTTGTCAGAAAAAATTTATCAATAAGTCAAAGGCTGACTGACGGTTTTCATACTAATTGTTAGGGCATAATTTTAAAAATTGAATTGTCGGCGGATTTTTCCATTATTTCCCGATCATGACAAAGACTACACGGCTGGTGCGACCGGTCGGCAGGGGAAACTCACTTCCAATGTCACCTGATCCCACCTCGGATGTTTTGGAGGTCCGTATTTGCTCTGCTCCAATTTTGTATTTTTATTGGACTTTTGAGCTTGAATACTGTTCATTATCTCCATATACTTCATATATCGAGGACAATCATTGTCAATAATTATAGATTATTATAAGTAGTTTGCAAAATAACAAATTTCAGAAGCTGCTATGGACAATTTATTGTTTAATTTTGTGAATTGTCGAATTTCTAAAAGATCAAGGATTTTCATTTTTTAAAATCACAATTTTGTTTTGTTATTTGGAAAAAATAAATAAATTTTCTACTCTTTTTCACAAATAACTTTCTAAAGTTGAAAATATCGTTAAGGGGCGATTGCATTCCATTAATCAATTAAATTTGACTGTTGTTAATCGTTTTTGTGGAGTTGACGCCAAATATTGCGTGCACAGCCAACTTTGGTCATGGACTCAAGCCAATTTCGTACAGGGTATTCATCATGCCAAAACTTCCCGAAGTAGTGCTGTCTAGCCTCCGTCGTGTCATGGGGAGAAAAAACTGTCTCGGATTTAATGCTAATCCGAAAACATTCTAGCATAGATGTGATAGATAGATTAAACTGTTGTTTGTCTAAAGCGGACGAATCGAAACATGCCCTGGTCAAAAGAGCAGCAAATATAGGTCGGATCCAAGGAGAAGTTTAACTAGTTAACACAGTGTTCTTTGAAGAACTGGCTACAAATGTATGTGAATTTTATTTGTTTAAATTAGTTTTTGTCTTTGTGAGTAATGCTTCACAGAGTATGATTATGGTACTGAATGTAAACTGCATAAGCAATTAACAAGTAGAGACCTCTAAATAATTAGGGAGATAATATAGATGAAAGTTGATAGGATTACATTGCAGTCTAGACACTGGCTTTACTCATTACTGGAATTGTACTACAATAAAGACACGTAGGCAACAAGATTTAAAATTTTTCAATTGGTAGAGGAAAAATGGAAAGAAATAGGATTACTATTGTTTATCAACACCATTTGCTCTACAAGATAACACTTAAGAGTTTTATGTACTGTCCACAAATTGACATTGACTGTAGGTGTTTCTGTTATCCATTCTTACATGTATTTTACATACAAGTACTCTGAAGCTGATGTTAAAAAGAATGTGAAGTTTCTCATTAATATCCTCAAGATCTATATTTTTTGGAAACCAGCTCTTACAACAATCTGTCTGAATTTCATCGGGTATTTATTGTATTCCTGTATAGACCTACCTGGCTTTCACATTCCTTTAAGCAAAATTTATTCAAGAACGTCTGAACAAGAAGAAGAAAGAACTTTATTCGGTAATAACCGATATTTGCCCCCCAAACCAAACTTTGATGGAGAAATATTTAATTATGTTCTTATATAGGGGGGTATATGCTGACTTCAACGCACTGAATATTTTCATAAGTAATGACGTCAAACATGACGTAAATTTCATTTTTTTTATGAATTCTACAGAAAAATGTACATATTTCGTCGATATTTTGAGTAAAAGTCACCGAGCGCATGTGTGTTCAGGCTCAATATTTTGATATAATGTTTAGAATGATAATATCAGTGAAATATGTAAATATTGCTCCTGAGCAAACTTGTGCTCTCTAAATTTTAAAGCTAAAATTGTTGAAATTTTGTTCATTTTGTCGTCTTTCTAAAAAATGATATAAAATCAGACTAGTTTGTGATGTCATAAAAACAAAAATTGTGAACAAACTACTTTGAAACAATAATATGTTCTGTTCATTTATATTTCTCATACAATTTATTGAATTCAGCACCTTTCAGGAAGTTTTCAAAATTTGACTTTTGTGGACTGTAAATATATGCAATATATCGTAAATATAGTTCTTTCTAGCAGTAGCATTTATAGCCTTACATTTTAATATATATTCAAAAGTTGAGAAGAGTTTACACAAGGTTTACACACATTTGAAGTTAGGCATCTGAATTGGAAGAAATATTCACATATCAGCTCTCTCTGCAATATCCAATCAACAATTTATATTCCTGTAATCTTTCTTAACTGGAATCATTTGATATAAGATTATAAAAAACGAAGGAATAATCACCTTTCTAATTACTTCCTCAAAGACTTAAACAGAAATTTGGGCAATACACTAAAGTCGGAAACTAGGCTAGATATGAATTGCTCTTTAAAAGAGTAAATTACCCTAACGGCAGATTTAGCATTGTAGAATATGTTAATATGGTGCAAGAGGCGCTATACCTATGAAACAGAATTAAGATGTAAAAGATTCAAATGAAATGAAAGACATCAACCCTCATGAACGTTATTTTGTAAATGCAGCATAAGTGATTTAACAGAAACCGTTTACTTCTTAAGAACTGCATGGGTATTTTTATTGACATTTATCGTGCAATCTAAATGAAGTGAATTTATGCTCATGTAATTACAGTGCTTTATACAGTCATTTAGAAGCTAAGCTTTAGTTACTTCACTATCGATGTACACGTGCAACAGAAAAGTATGCCGTTATTTAACTCTCTTGGCCTTATATTAGGAAACACGCATGTATTATTTAAACCCTTGATTTATGATATCTCTAACCTTACTTTAGCATGCTTTGTCATGAAATTATTCCAAAAAGTGAAAGTAAAATGACGCAGAGTGTCATTATGGTTAAAGAGACGCCATTACATTGCACAAATAACTTTGCACCCCAATGGTCTCTTCACACCTCCACTGACAGTTTGATATAACAGACACTATAAGTCATTACCGGAGAAAGGAACATCCGAATCAGAAAGCGCAATAATGTCCGATAAAAGTATTATTAATCAGACATAAATTCTACATTCATTTTCCATGTAAAAATATCGGTCGAAGATGAATTGATTTCGTTTCAATGGTACTGTCATGGAATATTTAGAACATTTTTTCCTTTAGAACTCAAGAGACAGCTATAATAAAAAGGATTTCATGATTTCAAGTGTTTTTTACATGTCAGAATTTTTTTTTCCTCTTTAAAATGTGACAACTTCAAGAAAAAGAAGAGACTTTAACTATTTTTAAACAGCATGACTAATGGTAGATCATGCAGAATTATTCAGAATTAAAGACCAGTTTCACACACCAATCCAATGCTTAGGATATCTCATCACTTCTATCATTTATCTCATCACTTCTATCATTTCACACTTTCGGCCAAATTTCGTCACTTTCCATTGAAAAACCCAAACACTGAAATGTGTATTGATTTAGTCGTTCATTTCAGTATAAAAACACTATTGATCAGAATTCTATATGATGCATTATTATATTATTTGCATAATATATAGAGTCACCAGCAATGCCCCTTTCGTTGCTCCTGATATTTGATGCACGCACCTGTATTGATTAGCTTTGCGTTTAATGTATTTTCTCACACGATAGCAAGTTATTCTCTCACAGATAACCCAGGATACATTGAAAACTTGGATCACTTAGCTGCTGGTGTCTCTTTAGATAATTCAAAGCATATTTATTTATCAGCTTTTCTTATCAATAACAGCAACAAGACGATATGGTATACTATGGCTAGCTAGAAATGCCGATCGCACAGAGTTTTTATTTTCACGAAAGCACTGGTCCTGCAGGTAAGCTTTTTACTCTGATTAATAATAGATTTCTCCTTTAATCAATATCAATCATGTCCCGTCCACTGAGGCTGTAAGAATGTCGCTGTAGTAAGAAAAGCAACAGCCTCAGACGACAGATTATCCGGGTCTCACAATCCTCCATCACATTATAGCTTTATAATGGACTATTTCTCTTTGTCGTTTTCAGTGGTTTGAAGAACAAAATGTCGGAGATGGTATTTAAGAAGAATTAAAAAGATTTGCTTCGAAATGCTTTGATATTAAAGGACTGTTATTGTGGATATTCAAAGCTCTAGGAATGTGTCTTTTTTCATAATGAGGAAAGTAGACATTCTACTGTTGCAGATTTCTATGCTGGTGACGATTAAACATGGTAAATATTACTCTTATTATTGATTTAATTTTAATTTGATTTGATAGCATTTTGTTTTCATAATAAAGAATCGATTTAAAGAACGGACCAATGCACATTTAAAAATTACATGTATTTAGATAAAAGAAAAAAACTACATATTACATACTTGCACTAATTTAGATAAAAAATAAAAGTAAACATAAAATAAAATTGGGATTTTTAAAAAAAATCTTAATTGCAGATTCATGTCGGTTTTTATAATACAATAAAATATAAAAAAGCATTTTAAAAATAATTCAAGTAGAACATGGCACCTGATCCCACCTCTGATGTTATGGAGGTGCGTGTTTGCTCTGCTACTTTGTATGGTTTCATTGACTTCTGAGCTTGAATACTGTTCGATATATCCATATATTTCATTATACAAAACTAATTCAATATTCGAGGCACCTGATCTCACCTCTGAAATTCCCAGAAGTCTGTATTTTATGCCATCTTCACATATCTGTATGTTAATAGATTTGTTTTTAGATTAATCACTGTTCTACATCTTCATTTTTTTAAATATAAAAGTAGACTGTTCAGAACGTACTTTAAAAATGGACGCTGAAGGACATATTCAAATAAATTTTACGGAAATAATATACATGTACACATGTACACAAACTTTCAAAAAAGCCAATTATCTGCGAGGCTAGTCAGATCTAAGGACTGACACTCATCACATTGAGTAAGTTTTGTTTTGCCAAGCTTTTTCTGTGTGAACAGAAATGAAGTAATGGAAAAAATGCATTAAACGTTTGATTTCGATACTGTTATATTAATCAATGCAAAACAATCATGTTTATTGTATTGTTAACAAAAATAAGAAATTATAAATCAAATATACTATGGTTTCATAAAATTCATTGAACACCAATTTTCGAGGATTTCGTTGTTGAGCAGATCCACGAACTCAAATGTTCCTTGAATTAAGAAATATGATATTCATTTGTATAGGCAATGCTTTTGTCTATGAAATTACGTTTCCTCGAAAATGTCTGATTTACAAATCCAAGAAAATCGATGCCAACGAAAATTGATGAAACCACAGTAGTAGAAAATATGTACATTATTTTTTATATTGTTTACTTTATTGCTTAATTTTGTCCATCTTCATTGTAACTCTTATTTATCATTGCAAAATCTCTAATGAGTTTGTACTCTTTCAAATCTTAAAAGAGATTAAGAAAGATCTTAATTTTATATTTTTAAAATGAAATGTACATTTAGGGACACATGTGTGATATTTCCCCATAGAAAATTGTCTTATTTTCTTTTTTCCCACTTAACATTTCACTGAATGAAAGCATTTTTATGGCAGATCCAAGTCTTTATAAGATAAATCAATACGTGATTAGGAAAAAATAACCTGACCCCAAAGGTAATTCTTCTGGCTATTGATTTTATTAAACTAACTTCTAAAGATCATTATTCGAAAAGAGGACAGCATTTAAACAATACATCTGTTTATAGACTTTTTTATATTTCTTAAAAGAAATTATAAGACCTCATTTAAATTAATAGATGTACAGTCTTTATGTATAACGAATTCAGACAACTGAAAAACTAAACCATGAACTCTCGAATTTATCGCTCAGTGTAAAAAAAAAAATCAATGGTTGAAACCATGAGTTTATCAGAAATACACACGACTATGACTACATATATAACAATTAAACATAGATAAAAACCCATTTTTCATTTACAGTATATCTAGTTGGATTTTTAAATAATGGACTTTTAATTAAACCCCAGTAATGATATTGTTTAATCCAATCACTCCATTGATCCTTAAAATGGAATCGCAGGCTCCTCGTTTTCTCCTCGGGCGTTTTTCTTGGTGGTGTTTTCAATAAAACATTATATTGTCACTTTATTCCGGGTTGCACTTTTAACCCACGTCAAACTGCAGTTGCTTCATTAGGCAAATATTGACTGTTTGACACTCGAACACTGGCTTCAGCGAAGGATGTGGGGAAAAAGCTTTGATTGGAGACCTGCTGCGATTTTCTAAAAACAAAAAAAAAATCTTAAAGGAATCAATTAAAAGGCATTGTTCCTGCTAAAAAGCTACAATTTGATTTGATTTCAAAGAAAACAATCATCTAGGTAGTCGTGATTTTAAAACTAAGTTGCAAATAAGCACCTCGATGGATCAGCTATGATATTTAATTAAGTGCTCCAGCGATTTGTCAGCCTAATAATAGAGAAAAACAAAGGGCATACCATCTACTGACACATGTAAGGAGAGAAAAACAAAGGGCATACCATCTACTGACACATGTAAGGAGAGAAAAACAAAGGGCATACCATCTACTGACACATGTAAGGCAAGCCAAATGGTGATATGGCACGAACAAAAATGCACAAAACTTTTTGGTGACAATACGTAAAATAGAACGAATCATATTGTTACAAAAAGTAGATCACACGGTCTAGTCATTCTGTTGTAAGAACAGCGGACAGTAACATTTTAATATCCAAATCAGTAACAGATTCTTGAACAGCATATTTGTTTATAGCTTTTTACGATGATATGCACTCAAATCATACGTATGTTATAGAAAATATTGTGAGGGGGAAATTTTATTAATTTCTATATGCTACATTTCGAATTTTTCTTACATTATTGATTACAAACAACAAGCAATGTCTTATATCAATATTGCTTCAAAATCTCGTATATATGAATATAACTTTAAGAAATATACTTTGGCTTGTTTTGATTGTGTATGATAGAATAAAGATGTAGCAAATGAACTTTTGACTGTAACACGATAGAAGGATTACAATGGGTTCTGCAGAATCAAACAGTTATCGTATAAGGTCATTTGATGAGGACATTTCCCCTATGTAAGCATGTATTAGCATTTCTGTAGCAATACTTAAGCATATAATTCTGATATTAGTATGCTTAAATATTGCTTTTGATGTTAAATACCACATACATGTATAAACTTGCAGTCTCAGAGTAGGTGATCTGCACACTGTCTTTTATTGTCCATTGTCTTATTTCTTAGGTGTAAACAAATGTTAACTGAATAAAGCAACTTGAAGAATTTTTCCCTTTTCAAACAGGGATGATATGTTTATGTATTCCATCTCGTGGGATGAGCAAAAGCAATGCTTACATAATATATTGTTATAAAAATACTGCAATTGATCATCTTTTCGGGGAAAATTTTCTTTATGACAAGTTAAAGAGGAATAAAAAATAAGAATGGGTTGAATACTCTTGTAATCTTTAAACAAAACTACGGACATAACGTAAGGTTAGAAACTTGCCCTATAACTAAACATATTGTAGATAAAAAAAAACTGTGTATATAATTAACTGAATTTTTATTGTTGATAAAAATGTTTGGTATTAAGAAATTCAAATTATTTGCTACTTGAAATATTGTCTTTAGTTAATGCAATTCTAAATATATTTAATGACCTCAGAAACCAAACGGGAAAGCGTCTAGTGTTGTAATTAACCTCCCTTGTGTGGCCCATCTAAAGTTATTTACATCAGTAACCCACGCAAATGGTAAACCTAATTAGATCGAAGATATCTTGTGGCTACTCTTCAATATCAGTATAGACTTTTATTTGAATCAGTACAAAGCCAAAAAGAAAGTGGAAACCTAAGCAACAAAACGTAAGAACAATATCTCAAAGTCATCAAATGAAGTAATTTCCGCAGATTTGTTGGATTCTGAAGGACCCAGAATGGGCCTGACAAAACCCAAGCCTCCCTGCTTCTCCTGACGACACATCTGTCAATACTGACATGACACTAACGGGCTCAGTAGATTACATGACAAATGGGGCGATTTCCAATAGCCACAACTTATACTGAAAAATCGGATAATGGTTATCGGTGAACTTACAAGTCGATTTTTATGCATTTTCACAATTTCTGAAATTATTTAGATTTATTTGTAACATCATATACAAAATACGTGGAAATACTTAAAGAAAAAGTTAATAGACGTCTATTTGTCTCTTTGTGACATTATAATCGCTCTTGCAAGCGCATCTACCTTCCGATGAATATAACGTCAATTCCAGTTTTATAAATTGTTTGCGCAAGTAGATAAACGACATTATAAGAGTCATTAATCGATTAATACAATAATTAGGGTCACAAACTGCTTTTGTTTTGGAAAAGAATCGTTATAGGATTGCATTTTAAAAACTCATTAATTAAACGTTTTGTTTATCCAAACTTGATAAGTGTCCAACGGTTTTCATTTTTTACTAGAAGTTATTTTGACAATCACTTTAATGTAAACGAAAACACTTTTAAAAAATTAGAGTTCTGAATGAGATTGTATATATAACCTGAAAAGTATATTATGCATAATCACAAAGCTTGTACATTCTGTAAAATGCTTTTACTCGTACTTGTCTTTAAGGACAGATGATACAAACAAAACATGGATGAATGGATTGGTATATATATTTTTGGTCTAATTTCATTGCAAATGATGCAAATACCAAAATTCTAGAATGTAAAGAAATTATAAACCTTCTATGATGTTCAACATTCTGTCTTCTGAAACCATCCTTATTAATCCATACAATTTTATTTTCCTTTCGAATCCAATTTTCGTGGAAATTTGCATTAAAAAATAAAAAACTACGCGGTGAAACTTGTCCATTTTACTCATTTAAACATGACTCTAGTTGTTATTTTTATATTTTTTGACAAAGGTTTGTTTGTATCATCTGTCCTTAACATGAGAAATAAATACAAAGAGGACTGGATGGCTGTGGCCATTTTTAGACTACATTGTATATTGGTCTCCTTTAGAAGAAGAACTTCATATAAAGATATACAAAATGATCAAGTTTTAAAACTAAAATGTATGATTTTTTTGCTAAATGATAGTTGACACCTTAAGATATCATTTCTAAAAATAAGATATATCTGATGGTTAATTGTTTGACCCCCCAGGCTCCCTAAACAAAGAAACTAACTGTGCATT